CACACACACACAGAGGCAGCTTTGTGGCCCGAACAGAGAGACTAAACAAAGACTCTTGTGTCCGAGGCGTCTTCACAGCTGGGATGTTTAGGCCTCTTCACCACCGTACAGTCACTTCATCTCTGTCTCTGTAATAGCACTGTCTCCACCTGTTTACCTGTCTCTCGAGTACAAACTGATTTAACAATTAATCTGCATTACTCCAAAATCTCAGTGGCATTTTTCATTTACTAAAAATTAAACGTTGTTTATTGCTTAAATAGAAATAAAAATATATATTATTCAAATAATTTAAAAACATAAATTGTCTAAATTATAATGAAAAATATAAAATATAAGATAAAATATCAAATGTATATATGGTTCATCACTTAAATATAAATAAAAATATAAAAAATAAATGTACATATAGGCCTGTGTGTGTGTGTGTATATATATATATATTTCTTCTGAATTTTTTTATTCATCAAAGAAACCTGAAAAATTCTACTCAGCTATTTTCAACATAATAATAATAATAATAATAATAATAATAATAATAATATTAAATGTTGTTTTTTGAGCAGCAAATCAGCATATTATACTGATCTCTGAAGATCATGTGACACTGAAGACTGGAGTAATGATGCTGAAAATACAGCGTACTGTTCAAAAACTTTTGACCGGTAGTGTAAATTAAATACATATTATTAGAATAAATAAAACAATGTTGTCTAAATAATGATATATAATAGATATAAATATACATATACATATCACCCAGACCAACACTGTCAAACACACACATTCTTCTGGTCTCATGTCTGATCTATAACTCTGGACGGGAGGTTTGTAACGGCTGGCAGAAAATCACACAGAAGCCACATGAAAAGGGTTTTCTGAACAAAAATCCACCCAGAAAAGAAGAAGAAAAAACTTTTCTGCTTCGCCAGCAAGAGCTCAAGACAAAGCACTGAAGTAGACCGCATCAGACTGACCCACTTCACATCTTTATCATTAATGCACAGAGTGCAACTGCAATGTCTGATATTCAGCAAATTAACCCTTAAAAGTTCATTCATGCATCTATATGTAAACACTGTATATGAGAATCAGACACAATATAAATGAGATTTACAGCAGACTTTGAACCTAAACCATGTCATTCGTTTATATAACACAAGATTAAGGTGATCAAACTGGTTTTTTTAACATTATTAAACTAGTTATTATTAGTACTAGTTACCAAAACACATTTACCAGCCTAATCTGGATTTTCCAACAGAAAAACGGTGCATTTATAAGGTTTTTTTTAATGCTTTGGCAATACACAGCCTTTATCAATCTTGAAGTGATAACACTTCATAATACATAATGTGATAACACACATAACGCACGCTAGTGATGCCTGACCGAACCGATTCGTTCGAGTCGGTTCTTTTTTTAAAAGATCCGAACCGTTTGTAAATCACCTGAGAAGAGGCAAAGAAATAACTTAATTTGGCAGTAAACCCGAAAACTTAAACGAAAACGTGCCATTTTTAAACAAAACAATTGTTTGCTGCGAAACACGCTACGCGATTCGGATCTTCGGTGAACTAACCGATTCATTCAAACGAATCATTCCTCCTCATATATCACACACAGCACCTCATTCGGGGAAAAAACAACAACTGTACAACGTGTTAACGCGTCAAAGCACGAGAAAAGTATGCATTCGTTTTAAATGTGGTGTTATTTTAAGTGCATAAACTGAACAGAGAAGCGATGGAGATGCTTTGTGCTTTCTGAAGTCTCGGGTTTCACAAAGCGAGTCTTCCAGTGTCTGCTGCCCTTCCCCCTGCATGCACAAAACTGCACTCAAATGTACACTTCATTCGCACCATTACTGGACGCATTTGCGTTATGCATTGAGTATGCACTATATTATATTTGCTAGCAACAACTCAAGTCATTTTTTCTCCTACTGCTAAATATTTGGCATGCCATCCCAGCAATAATCTGGAGTGCACACTGTTTGGCAAGCATGCAAACTGCATTTTGGTGTGATAGTTTGCCTTGTGTTTGCCATACAGATGTGACACCCCTTCCCCTTTGAATGCATCAATCTCTGAAATAAATGATATTTTTATGCCTTTAATGCAAACAAGCACAAGTCGCATGTAATATGTAATTCTAACACCGTGTAGCATGCATTCGGGATGCTTTAGGCTGCATTATGCAAGTTATTTCACATGCATGCATAATTCAACCCACACCTGTCATCCACTCCTGAATGGGGCCAAGCACTGTTGGTTTACATCGTAAATGCATCAGTCGGAGAAGATAAATGCGAAAAAAAATGGAATATGCACACTTTTCGCCATGCATATTTGCATTATGCGTTATTTGGATTTTAACAGCAAAGATTAATCGGCAAAACCGATACATCGGTCGACCTCTAGTATAATGTATGATATGAGCGTCTTATTTACATCAATTCTCTCATCTCATTGCAGTTTGGACCAGAAAACCCGTTCAGATCGCAGCAGATGGCCGCTCCGAGAAACATGATGTCTGGTTACGCTGAACCGGCTCATGTCAACGACTTCATGTTTGAGCAACAGAGGAGAACGTTCTCTACATTTGGTGAGATATACATTATTGTTACTTGCATACAAGTTTTTGAACGGTAAGATTTTTTTTTTTTATATATATATATATATAAAGAAGCCTCTTCTGCTTATCAAAAGCCTGCATTTATTTGAGCCAGAGTACAGCAAAAACAGTAAAATTGTGAAATATTTTTACTATTTAAAATAACTGTTTTCTCTTTGAATATATTTTAAAATGTAATTTATTCCTGTGATTTCAAAGCTGTATTTTCAGCATCATTACTCCAGTCTTCAGTGTCACATGATCCTTCAGAAATCATTCTAATATTCTGATTTGCTGCTCAAAAAACATTTATTATTATTTTTCAGGATATTAGGATTTTTTCAGGTTTTTTGATGAATAGAAAGCTCAGAAGAACAGTGTTTATCTGAAACAGAAATCGTTTGTAACATTATAAATCTCTTTATCATCACTTTTGATCAATTTAAAGCATCATCGCTAAATAAAAGTATTTCTTTCTCCCAAAAAAAACAATTATGCTGACTCCAAGCTTTTGTATGGTAGAGTGTATAATGTTACAAAAGCTTTTTATTTCAGATAAATGCTGATCTTTATATTCATCAAAGTATCCTTAAAAAAATGTACTCAACTGTTTTAAATATTGATAATAATAATAATAATAAATATTTATTGAGCAGCAAATCAGAATATTATACTGATTTCTGAAGATCATGGGACACTGAAGACTGGAGTAATGATGCTGAAAATACAGCTGCGCATCACAGAAATAAATTACAGCTTAACAGATATTTAAATAGAAAGCAGTTATTTGAAATAGTAAAAATATTTCACAATATTACTGATTTTGCTGTATTTTAGATCAAATAATGCCGGCTTGGTGAGCAGAAGAGGCTTCTTTAAAAACATAAAAATTCTTGCTGTTCTAAATCTTTTGACCGGTAGTGTAGCTCTTCTAATTGGTCTGTAATCATCCATAGAGCATGTGTCATTGATATCCAGTGTGTGTGATTGTGGATTATGATCAGGTTACGCTCTGGACCCGTCTGTGGACACCAGTCAGGTCTCGTCCAGCAGCTACATTGGAGCCGTAGAAGAAGCAGAGAAAAACAAAGGTTTGATTCACATCATTCAGCATCTGCCTTCATGTTTCTCTTTGCCATGTTTCGCAGTTATGAATAATGTGTCAATAATAACTCTCAATCAGAATGGATTCGGTTTACTTGTAACACTGCACATGTAAAATCCCCGTGTCATGATTCGGTGCAGTTATTGACAATACGTTAAAATAAAATAGCATCACAACCATTCAATCAAATAACAATTTGAGGTAAAATGTTATATATTTTGTTATTAGTTACTATATAGTCGAATCAAATATTATTTATTTATAATTTTTTATATGTACTTTTATATTTAAAAATGTATGTTTTTGTATTTTTTTTATTTAACAATATTTAGTTTTTTTATTCAACAATATACTACCAGCCGTTTAAGTCCCTTAAGGCTAAAATAAAGACCTGCCCTGTTTTTTTCCCCCAATTTTTTTTGCTTCAAGTGCATCTGATTATGAAATGTTAATATTAAATATTATAACAGCCTATTTTCATAAGCCAGTCAAATCTTTTTTTTTTTTTGTTCAAGACTGCAAAATGTTAATGTACAAAATACATTGGTAGAAAATAAAATGCAAAAATAATAAATAAACTAAAATGCAAATATATATATATGAATGTGAATAATTTTAACAAAATAAGAGAGATCAAAATGCATGTTATTTTTTATTTAGTACTGTCCTGTAGGGCTGCACAATTAATCGAAATTAAATCGCAAAGGCAATAAATCACGATTAAACAGAAGCTGCGATTGTCATGCGTATCTTTCAGTGAAGCACAGGGGCCCGTTCTTCGTACGTCGCTAACTCAGTTAGCTGGATTTGATTGTTGACGATTTGGCATGATCTTGGATTATTTGGTTCTTCAAAGCTCATCCCGGAGTTGCTGTCATAGCAACAGGTCCTTAAGCTTAAACCTGCTCTGGAGCAGCTTATTTCATGTAAACAGGATTAGATCGCACGAACTGATACTTAAAATCTGTCCGCTGCCACCGCTACTTTATTACAAGAGTACCCTACTATTCCAGGGACAATAATTAAAAATAATAATTATTTAAAAATTAATTTAAAGATAATATAATAATGTTGTGTAGTCTTTAATACTATAGACACAGCCAGTTTTACTCACTGAAAGATTTATTCGTCATAAAATGATTACTTCATATTTGTATTAGAGTCTTACACACATGCTATACAGATAATGTAGAGTCGTGCATTAATTTGAGTGGTGACAGATATTATGGGAGTGGCTTGATGGAGCGCAGG